CCGGTTGATGTTCAATATGTTGCTAGGCATATCGACCTTACAGTGGATTAAACGGAAAGTAGGGATAGGGAATTGGCCAGGCGGTTTTCCCTGTACCGGCTCCCATTGTGACGGGTTCCAGCTGATGTGTACCCTATAAAGACACATTTTCTGACATGCAGAATAGGTGGAGAGAAGGATCCCAGCTGTTTTGATACGTCAGTGACGGCGGGAAATGGAGCTTTGGCTGAACGGCAATACCTTGTGTTGCGGTCATAGATGCATGCGTTAATAGTCTGTCCGAGTACCCTGTGTTCTTCAGTTCAGCAGGAAGTTCGGCCCATTTACTGTCGGGGTTCTGATATATCAGCTTGATCTGGCCGGCTCTGGTCACACATATCAATGCGCCTTTGTTGGCCGGGTGAAATGGCCCGACGGGGCGCCGGCGGAAGGGCGAGTATGCCCATCGACCATTCACCTTGGCTGCTTGGTGAAATGCGTGCACCTATATTACCATGTTAGGTTAGGGTCTTTTCAATTCTATCCTGATATATCTTGATGGATAATGGGTAGGAGTAACGTACATAACGCTGGGAGTTCAACCACATCATTCCCACGACCTGATTGCCATCATCGCCGGAGTCAAATGAGGCCTGACGTAAGCCTGTAATGCTGTTCAATGCAATGGAAATGGAATATATTGATATGCGACCAGAACAGTCGACAACGGCAAGTTCTGAACCGGTCTCATTCCATGATAGATGGGCTAGTTGATTGCCATTATGGGCCTCCAATACTGGAGCTAAAGATGACTCTTCCCCGAGCACCCATTTGCCATCTGATGGACGGCACTGGAGATGGCGGACAATAACCCGGAGTCCGTCTGGGGAAATAGATGCAATACATCCCATCCGAGACCAGGCGATTTTCCTAAAAGGTTATTAGTCTTGGAATGTGGATATGGGACTTTTTTTTTTTTCAAGCTTACTGGCAGCACCCTAATAGACGCATTTCATCTAGGCATTGTGCTAGACCTTTGATTGGGGAGGCGGCGGGCAAGCCTAGCTCCAAGGAGTTGGGTTCTCCAAAGAGATCATCCACATTGATACCGTCTTCCATGATCAAGGGCATAATATTTGTCGGACAACTTGTCAAGTATGTTTGATAATCAGGGAATCACTACAGCAGCATCGCTTCATAGAGTTCCCCGGGACCATTGAATATCAGATGGCTTTATTATTATTTGGTCAAGAAGAGGGGGGGAGTTGTAAGGGGATTCCCGAGATCGGCGGCTAATGTTCGAGGAGATGTCACCAACAGCACCAGCGATGTTACTGTCAATGCAGGAATTCCAGACTTCAATATGAGGAGGACCATAGATCAAATCCAGATGTTCCCTATGCCGTCAGCGCCTGGACCTCCAGGGACCAGTGGATTTCCCATTGATGTTGCTTAGTCAGGACTCGTGACATCCATGGATGAATCAGGTGACGGGTAGCCCTGCCAACGACAACTGACCAATCAGAACAATATCAAGGGATCCACTATTTAATATAGCGAATCAGCACTGAGCCCTTGAACTGTCAAAACATGGGAAATAGCAGAATAGCACAATAGCACAATAGCACAATAGCACCAAAGCACCAAAGCACCAAAGCACTAAAGCAACAAAAAAAAAAGGAACCAAAATAGGAAAAAATATAAAAATAATACGAAAAGCACAATAGGAAGTATTAAGATGTCCCTATTAGGGTATGAAAGGGCAATGGACTATTATCAACCCCCCTCACAACATACACAGTCCCATCAATGGTGGGGGGGTTTCAAGAGTTATCAAAGAAGCTATTACGGGACCAATTTTCCTTCTTTATTCCGAAGTATATGCGTTAACAGTCTTAAACCCACAACGACAACATATATTCGCATCAAAACAACATCGAGTCCCACCTTTTCCCTTGATCATTCGGTTCGGTCAAGTCAATTTATGTTGTACTTCTTCAACATTCCTAACGGAAATCCCATACCTTCACTCAAAACAAAGGTTGTTTTTTTTCCTGCGGGCCCTTTTTTAAATTCTTTCTTTTTTTTCCTTCGGCCCATAGAACCCTGAAGTGCACGAGTCCATTAATTGCCCTTCCCCCCAACGCTGACCTCATCGTCAACTTCCTTCAGCGCAACAACTTTCTACACTACAACTCCTTCGACTCTTGTCTACACTTTCTTCCATCTATCTCAAGGTCTTTTTTCGTCATTGATCTTTATTTATCGTTATTCCTTATTCCCCCCAGACACATATGATTTCTTCTTTTCGAGGTTTTCTATGGTCTGTGAGCAATTAGGAGATACTACCCGGTTCTTTTCGCCCCGACTCCCACCCCCTAGGGGTGAACACAACACTCCTACGCTGTTCCACCTTTCAGCCCATTCGCAACTCCCACGCAGCCATGGGTAATTACAATTTAGATTTTTCATCTGATTCGGAGTTGAGCTCCGTACCTCCATCACCAACATTAGCAGCGCAGTCATCACCAGAGCCTGCAGAGCGATACCCAACGCCTTCATCTCAAGAGGGAGCTGATTCTGCTGAGGGTTCTGCACGCCAAGTCCGTCCCGCAAAGAGGAGACGCAACCCCCTACCAAAGGAACGGACTACTCAATATCTCGATCTATCCAGATCTCTTTACGAACAAAATGATCAACACTATTTGCTCGTTCAAACTCTGCGTCATCAAAAAGACATTGTCGTCATCGCCGGCGCTGGCATTTCCACGGCTGCGGGTAGTAAGTTTCTGCTTTTGGATTCTGCCATATTTGAACCCAACTCTTAACTCCATACATATAGTTCCGGACTTCCGTTCCACAGATGGTCTCTTCAAATCATTGCAGAAAAAACACAACTTGAAAGCTTCAGGCAAGCTTCTCTTTGATGCTGCCGTCTATCAGGATGATGCATTGACCGCCCCCTTCCACGAAATGGTCCGGTCGCTGTCGGAAGAAGTTGCCAATATCAAACCCACCGCCTTCCACCAAATGCTCGCCCGATTAGGTATCGAGTCTCGCCTGAAGCGACTCTACACCCAAAATATTGACGGCATTGAAACCTCTATGGGGCCACTGGCAACTGAGGTCCCGCTTAATGTCAAGGGTAGTTGGCCGGTCACCATTCAACTGCACGGCAGTATTGAGAAGATGGTATGCCAGAAGTGTCGCTACCTCGCCGACTTCAACCCCAATATCTTCACCCAAGCCGACCCGCCCGCTTGCGACGATTGTGTCGAGCACGACGAAGTTCGCCAAGCCAGCGGTCAACGAAGTCACGGAATTGGCCGCATGCGCCCGCGCATTGTCCTTTACAATGAACACAACCCCGACGAAGAGGCAATCACCTCCGTGATGAACGCCGATATTAAGTCCCGCCCTCGCGTCCTGATTGTCGCCGGCACCAGCTTGAAGATTCCCGGGGTCCGTCGACTCGTCAAGAGCTTGTGCACAATGATCCGTAGTCGCAAGGATGGTGTCACAATGTTCATCAACAATGAACCACCAAGCGGCAAAGAATTCGATAATTGCTTTGACTTGATAATCAAGGGGTCATGCGATGAAGTTGCACGCCAGGTGAACCTCAAATCATGGGAGTCAGAGGACATTACTCCGTGCGTATACGAATCCTCGCCCGAGCCAATTTCCCACGGATTCAATTTCAACGACGTTTCCGTTGTCGTCACGCCCAAAAAGAGACCTCGTGCAGACACTGGCCTCGACACACCTTCCTCCAGTCACGACGAGAAGCCGATGAAGAAGCCAGCTACCAAAGCTACGAAAATCAAGGTCGAGAACCCGGCAAGCAATGGCCGATCCATCAAGGACATTATCAAGAAAGAAAAGCCTACTGCTCGCAAGCCTACCTCCAAGTTCATCACCAAGCCCGCCCCCAATCCTCGTCCCAAGAAGGCTGCAACAACTACGGCCTCGAAAAAAGGTGCCGTGCCCGCCGCCCCGGTCAAGAAAATTACCTCGTTCAGCCGTGTTACGAAAACCTCTCAATCCGCTGGCAAGTTATGTACAAAGGCCGATGGCAAACCTATGCAACCGGTCCCAGAAGGCGCCTCGAGGAACAATGGCCCTCTGCCAAACACAGAGCAATCCGAGAAAGCAGACGGCATGCTCAACACAGAGTCTCTTCCTCGGCCAGTGGCTTCCTCCTGACTCTTTTATGTTCTGGTCATGATATTGATATTCTATTCTACGTTGACTGCAAGTTCATGACATGATGCATGGTTCCCAAATGGCGTATTTGGTGTTCTTCTTTTCATTGCCCTTTCCAGTGTTTACCTTCACTGCTCCCCCTATCCCTTTCTGGGATTTCTATTTCTTCACCTATGTTTACATACTTCCTTTTCGTGGACTGTATTCTTACTTGCATCACCTGCGTTTGCTTTGGGTTGATGATTGTTGCTGTCCTCTTTTCGAAAGATACCATTGATAGACCACGGTTTCTCGCATGGATTGGCTCAGGCGTTTTTCGGCAAAGAAGCTGGCTTGCTCCGGTGTGATGGGATTTCCTTACTTTCAATTCTTATTATTCTTATTTTCACTCTCATGTCAATCTGCATGGGTGTTCATCTTTGGATTATCTAAATAAGATATTCCAGACTTTAGTCTCTCATCATTCGATTTGTTAGGTGCTGTCCCGTTTAATACTTGTTTCCTAGTTCTCTAGGGTACATATACTTTTATCTGTCTTTCTTGTCTCTGTAATTTTTGCTGTAGGACATTGGGGGTTTGATATATATTATTTACTAGCTGCACAACTATATTTTGGCCTTCATCTTCTTTACCTACCGCATTCGCTATATATCCAAGTATATACCAACCGAGTGCAGCATAAAATCCATTCGTCATTATGTGTATAGTACAGCAGAAACATTCTTTTCTTTTGCCAGTCAACCTCCCCTAATGCCATCCAGCATGAGTCCTCTTTGGCTCATCTACCTATAAATCACTTTGACAGGCCTAGACAATTAGCCCAACCCAAGATTATCCCGCAACTGACTACCAGGCCCATCCTCATCTTCGTCCGTCTCCTCGGCATCAGGATCATAAGGTCCCCTTTTCGCACCAGGCTCACGGTCCAGATCCTCCACATGTTCAAGGTTATCCTCACGCGGAGCATGTTCCTCCTCCTCTTCGTCATCCTCACTCTCATCGTCTTCTTCCTCTTCCTCTTCGACGTCTTCCTCTTGAGTCTCGTCTCCATCATCCCCAGCAGGCGGACCAACAGCTACCTCCACCTCTCCGTCCCGCTTTACCCTTTTCGCGGGATTATCAAGCATCTCAACATCACCATCGGCCTGAGTCGCGCTCTCGCCTAATGCATCCTGCGTGGCGCCATTCTCATCAACCTTCTTCGGCTTGCGTTTCCCGGCTTTGATCTCAGTATACGCCTCCAGTTCCTGTTCGAGACGGCCGCGGAAAGAGTCGAGTTCTAGCTCGGAGAGGGCGTTGAAGACGTCTGATGGGGCAATCGTGCGTTTGAGGGTTGCATCGTTGGCGCTAAGGTTTCATCGAGGTTAGTTCGACATACGATATATCATACCATGGGATAGAGTAGAACAAATCGGAGATTCACCATCCCGTATCTTGGACTGGAGGACTCGAATGCGAAGGCCGAAGGCAGCGGGAGAAGGGTAAAACATACTGTGAAGACAGATAGGAAACAAACACCGTAGCAGCCTTCTGCATAGCCAATACTGCGTCCTTCTGGATTGTCGTGTTCGGCGGGAGAACCGACTTGGCGAGACGAATCGTCAGTGAGCGTGGTAGGAGATAGTCCTACGGATTACCGGGGAGAGCGTTAGCCTGGCCTGGTTTTCTTGTTCCACATGCCGTAAATGAAGGAGTCCATCTATATGGTATCATCTTGCAATATGCAATGCACGGTCATGTCTTTGTCTCTGTCTTACCTCGACACTCGCGCCTGCCTCGGCCCGAGCCTTTAACTGCTGCTCCGTCGCAAACACGGGCTTGTCGGTCTGCGGTGCTGGAGGTGACTGCTGGAGCAGGGAGTCATCAGGATCAGCAGGCGTCACCGAGGAGGTGGATTTGCGAGGTGGCATTTTTGTAGGTTTGGAGCGGATGAGTGCACTCGTGCTGGTTGCGCGGATTAAGGGATCGGGGGGGTTGATAATTCGGGCCCCCCTTTGATTTCGAACCGAGTCAAGGCCTGATTGTTTCTTTCGGTAAAGAACCTTAGGGTTTTATTTAGATTTGAGCTGTGGTTATGGGCTTTGGAGATGGGACGACGTTCGAGGGTTACAAGGAAGACGCGCCAACGCGTTAGATTTCTCGATGCGCGAGTGTGGAGGCTTGGCGGTGATGTCTACTCTACTTCGACATGATTTCTATTTCTACCTTCAGTTCTACAATAATATGTAATACGATCTACAATTTTGGTTGATTTATTTGGAAAAGAGTCATTTTGATAATGTTTTTATACCACTGAAATTGAGATCAAATCTAGGGAAGGATGGAATGCCAACATAAAACGCCCACTTTTTGGTATCCAGAAAGATAGAATCAAATGAGATAATGAGTTCATAACGCGAGCAAGAAGAGCAGCCCTTACTCGGCCATCTCCTCATCATCACCTTGTCCGTTGCCCCAGAGACCCTCGATACTGAACTCCTTGGCCCACTCGGTGACGACCTTGGTGGTGTCAACGCCGGGCGCAATATCGCCGGCAGGAGCATCTGCCGAGACAACGGGCAACACGGGCGCATTGGCCCAACCTTGGATGCGGCCATCTCTCCAGTCGTTGATAACGGTCATGGCAGCGCTCTCGATGTTGGGGACACCGCGCTTTCCGAGGCGGCCGCGCTTGCGGGCCACCTGGACCAAGAAGTCGGTGGTCTTGTCACCATTGCTAGGGAATAGAGCGGTGATGCCGTACAGCTCGAGCATCTTGGCGAGGAGGTTCTCCGACGAGGATAGACGCTTCATCAGGAGGTTGACTGCGGGGATGGGATCCTCGATCTGCTTGGGAGGAACAGCGTTGAGGAGAATCAGACGAGCCTGGTCTTCTTGCTTCTTGTTCTTCTTACTAGACTTGTCACCAGAGCTGGGGAAGACGATTCCGGGAGAGTCAATCAGCTTAAGCTTGCTGTCCAGCTTGACCTGGCGCAGGCTAGTGGTGACACCAGCCTCGGCGCCTGTGGGGCATGCGTTGCTTGAGCCCTTGCTCAGACGTGCGGTGAGTGCGTTGATGACGGACGACTTGCCGACATTGGGGTATCCAATAACACCGACAGAGATGGCTCGCTTCAACTGCTTGGCGCTAGCGTATGACTTGAGGGCACGGAAGAGTGTATCCGAAGTACCCTTGACCGTTAACTGCTTGTGGTCGAAGCTGTGTGCGTTGGCAGTGGTGCCGCTGGAAGCCTTAAGGGGGAGAGTGGGGAAGGAGCGGCGCAGGTGAAGCAACCAGCCCTTGAGCACTGGGGGCGGAACCAGATCGATCTTGTTCAAAATAAGAATCAACCGCTTGTTGCCACCATCTGCCATCATGATCTCGCGCTCAATGTCCTTGGAGCGGGTACCCTCGGGGTCGCGGGCATCGAGCACATATAGCACAACATCGGCGTTGTCGGTGACCTGCTTGAACACCTTGTCGAATTGGCGTCGTGAGCTCTCCTTGGAGTACGACTTTGAATTGACCAATGGTGGGGCAGACTCATCAATAGTTGCGCCGCCCTCCTCATCGTCCTCGTCCATCTCATCATCATCGTCTTCATCTTCCTCCATATCTTCGTCTTCGCTTAGGTTATCATCATATTCCACGGCACGGGCGCGTGCTGAGGCGAGAAGAGCAGCCATGGGGTTCGAATCATTGCCCTCGGCATCCATATCATCATCCATAATATCGTTCTCGTCGATGTCGACAGCCTCGGTGCCAGTCTTGGCGGGCAGGCCTTCAGCCTTGCGGGCTTGTGCCTCCTCCCGAATGCGCTGTTGCTCCTCGGCCTTCATGCGCTTCCGCTCTTCCATGTCATGGAGAAGCTTGTCCTTGTTGGGGAAGAGATTGGGAATGCCGGGGTCCTTCTTAAGCTTTGACCGCCATTCGGGGTTCTGGAGAGAAAATCGTCAGAACCTTCGATCAGAACTGTTATGGAGACATTGTCTGCAATACCTTCTTTGCAAGCTTCTTTTGCTTTCTCTGCTTCTGGACTGCAGACTTTTCAATCTTGTGCCTCAAGCGGACAGGAACCCGCTTGGAAGTCTTGCCTATAGACCGTTAGAAGTGCGCCTCAGGACTGCGTGAGCGAGTGACAAAAAGGAGTATCATACCAAAACCACTCTTAGTAACCATTTTGAATGCACGTATTCGTTAATTACAAAAAGTGCACAGCAAACCCTCAAAGTCTGTCCGCAACGGGAGTAGAAAAAGTTGGGTGCCAAGATTTCCCAGCCGATAAGCGGATTAGTAGTTGGGCCGATCTCCGAAGATTTTTCAAATGACTAAGCTTGCGGGACAGTTACCAGATTAGGTAGGTACATACGGGAATAAGCAAGAAATATATTCCAGGTTGGATAACACCATAACCTGTATTATCTTCTTTGAAAGTTCTCGTTTCTTAAGTATTGATACCCCGAAGAAGATTCTCAGCAGATTGCTTCTTGTCTTTCCCTCACCATCGGCTTCGCTGTCTACTCCTCATTGACTCCGTACTCTCCCCGCATCCCCCCACCATGTCCTTAACAACAGGATCATTCTCCGCACCTGCGCAGGTACACACATTCGATGGCCTTCTTTCTGACTTCGATGGCACAATTGTGGACTCAACTGATGGTATTTGATCCCAATTCGAGTCCTAGGATTAATTGGAACCAATACTAACCATCCGGTATCAAACAGCCATTGTGAAGCACTGGCACAAGTGAGTCATGAACGCAGCCCAACATGACCTCCGCCAGCAGAGTATCTAACATAAATTCCGCTTCAGGATTGGTGACGAACTCGGTGTCGACCCCAAGACTATCCTCGCGACCTCGCATGGCCGCCGCAGCATCGACGTGATGGGTCTATACGACCAGACCAAGGCCAACTGGGACTGTAAGTCGACCGGACACCCAGAAGCGACCGATACCTTCCAACATAAGCATTTGATATGAACTGACAACATCATCTCACAGATGTGAATGAAATCGAAGGCCGCATCCCGAAAGAATATGGCTCCGACGCTGTCGAGATTCCCGGCGGCCGCGACCTCCTCGCAGCCCTCGAGACCTCTGGCGCAAGATGGGGTGTTGTAACATCCGGCACGCGCCCCCTGGTCGATGGCTGGCTGGAAGTGCTCGGCCTCCCACACCCCAAGAACCTTGTGACAGCAATGGACGTACCGCTCGGCAAGCCAGATCCGCGCTGCTACCTGCTAGGCCGGAAGCAGCTTGGCATCGATGATTCAACCTCGATTGTCGTACTCGAGGATGCACCTTCTGGTATCCAGGCTGGTAAGGCTGCTGGGTTCAAGGTCATCGCGTTGAAGACGACGCACTCGCTGTACCAGCTCCAGCAAGCTGGTGCGGATTGGATTGTGGAAGATTTGACTAGCATTTCGGTCAAGGCGGTTGTTGATGGCCAGGTGCAGATCGAGATCAGGGATGCGTATCAATAGATGGTCGTAACCATCTCAGTTTCGCGGATTCGTTGCTGCATGGGCAGGGATGTACTCTTGCATTTGCAGCTGCGTAACGGGTTTCTCGGAGTTGGATACACAGCCTAAAGGTTTCATGTTAAAGATTCCAGGCTTTTTTAGAATTAAAGTACACTACATACAGGTTAGATTGGTACATATATACATACATATTGGTTTGGATTTTGTTATTGACCTTTGGTTTGTTTGGGTTGGTATGGAAGTCTGTCGTGTTAGAGGGCATGTAAACTGGCAAATGTCCACCATTTGTCCATATTTCCCTGAAAGGCGATTACTATAACTAGTTGGTGGTACTGAAAAATGGTTCATCGTATCGAGGTAGAGAGGGCACCTGGGTTTTTTTGCTGCTGTCCTGGGCTATGTAATTGGTTCTCATGCCCATCGGGCCTTCTGAACAGGGCTGGATCGTCCCCGACCACAAGCACAAGCACTAGGCTCTGCATATCCTGAAACGATACAAAGATACAAAGCCCTGAAGTACCTCAGGCCGTTCCCCGGGCGGGGATGTAATCGGACCAAGCAAGGTGCAAGGTGCAAGATAGCAAGTACGTATGCACGAGTTCCACACACAACCCACCATGTTTAGCTACTTCGAAGCAGGTATGGAGTTCATCCCAAGCCTTGCACACGAATTGGCGGTGCTGTTGGTGCTTTACGGAGTACGGATTCGTTTAATGACATCCGACACATCTCATAACAAGGATGATGGCTCTTCTAGATGATTCGACCGGCAAGGATCAAACTGTATATCTGTTGACATAGTAACTGGACACCCTCGACCACCATGGCGTGCGTCGCGGACACCTTTCGTGGGTATGCAGCCACGCAATCCTTGCAGCTCAAAGCCGAATTTTATCGGCAGGGCATTACAGCATGCAAATGCACCTGCTACTCACATCTGATCCAATCATTCAGACAGGGCGGGTCGCGAACTACCGTTCATGCACGCTTGAGCCCTGGGTGGATGTGGAACCAGGCCGTGAGCCCGGAAATGCATCCCCGAGGAAGATGACTTCAGATTTGGAAAAAGAAAAACAAAAAAATACCAGATCTGCTCTAATTGGGCTCGGGCGTTCCGGCTGCAGCCAGCTCTTTTGGGGAAGGGGTTGAATGCTCACGAGGATATGGATACTTTTTCTGCCGGCAACTTTAGAACAAACGCATTGTGTGGATATCATTGGTGGACCAAGTGGTTTGGGGGATGGACACATCCTACCTGCCTGGGAGCTTGAGGCGAGAGCAGAGCTTCTCTCCAATGACATTGAGGAAGGCCACTCGGCCGGTGAGAATAACATGCAAGGGGGCTAAGTTTGCATCTCGCGTATGGGTCAGGAAAAGGTGATGTTCGAATGCAGACTCCTGAATATCATCACAATTGGCTGAGCCGAAGAAGGCGATATAGGCGA